GGGAAAACTGGAGAGCGACATGCAAAAGAATGAAACTGGACCACCTTCTTACACCATACACAAAAATAAATTAAAAATGGATAAAAACCTAAATGTGAGACAGGAAACTATTAAAATCCTAGAAGACAACATGGGCAGTGACCTCTTTGACATTGGTCGTAGCAACTTCTTACTAGACATGTCTCCAGAGGTAAGGGAAACAAAACCAAAAATTAACCATTGGGACCTCATCAAAATAAAAAGCTTCTGCATGACGAAGGAAACAATCAATAAAACTAAAAGGCAACCTTCAGAATGGGAGAAAATATTTGTAAATGACATATCTGATAAAGGATTAGTATCCAAAATATATAAAGAACTTATCAAACTCAATACCCAAAAAAACAAATAACCCAGTGAAGAAATGGGCAGAAGACTTGAATAGACATTTTTCCAAAGAACACATACAGATGGCTAACAGACCCATGGAAAGATGCTCAACATCACTCATCATCAGGGAAAGACAAACCAAAGCTACCATGAGATACCACCTAACACTTGTCAGAGTGGGTAAAATTAATGACACAGGGAACAACAAATGTTGGTGAGGGTGTGGAGAAAGGAGAACCCTTTAGCACTGTTGGTGAGAATGCAAACTTGTGCAGCCACTCTGGAAAACAGTATGGAGGTTCCTCAAAAAATTAAAAATAGAACTACCTTACAATCCAGCAATTTCACTGCTAGGTATTTACCCAAAGGATACAAAACTACTGATTTGAAGGGATACATGCACCTGATGTTTATAGCAGCATTATCAACAATAGCCAAACTATGGAAAGAGCCCAAATGTCCATTGCTGATGAATGGATAAAGAAGAAGTGGTATATATACACAATGAGAATATTACTCAGCACCCCCCCCAAAAAAAGAGTGAAATCTTGCCAATTGGAACAATGTGGATGGAGCTAGAAAGTATTATGCTAAGTGAAATAATACAGTCAGAGAAAGACAAATACCATATTATTTCACTTGTATGTGGAATTTAAGAAACACAACAAATGAACATAGGAGAAAAAAAGAGAATCAAACCTTGAAACAGTTTCTTAACTTAGAAAACAAACTCATGGTTGCTGGACGGAAGTGAGCAGAGAGAGGGGTTAAATGGTTGATGGCACTTGTTGTGAAGAGCACTAGGTGTTATATAAAAATGATGAATCACTAAATTCTATACCTGAAACTAATATTACACTGCATGTTAACTAACTGGAATTTAAATAAAAATGTGAAACTAAAAAAAAATACATATTAGCTACTAAGTTAAAAAAAAAAAAGAAGAAGCTTATTATCTTCTTCTTCCTCAAAGGTTATCAGGCCTAGCTGTTTAAACAGAGATGGAATCATATTTCCTTAAATGAAGATAATAGTGGTAAATATGTTTGAAGGAAATGGAATGTTTAGAACATTGTGAATTGAAACCAGAAACACATCTTAAAATTGTCACTGTTTCAACAGTTTTGAGATATAATTGACATCCAATCAACTGCACATTCATGTGAAGCTTACAATTTATTAAGTTTTAATGTAAGCACACACCCATGAGACTGTCAGTACACTCAAGATAATAAAAATATCCATCACTCCCTACAGTTTTCTCATGTTTCCTTGTTGTCTCTTCTTTCTACCCCTCCCTCCTTTATTGGTCCCAGGCAACCACTGTTCCTCTTTCTGTCATTTTATTTATTTATTTATTTATTTATTTATTTATTTATTTATTTATTTAAAAAAAATTTTTTTTCAACGTTTATTTATTTTTGGGACAGAGAGAGACAGAGCATGAACGGGGGAGGGGCAGAGAGAGAGGGAGACACAGAATCGGAAACAGGCTCCAGGCTCTGAGCCATCAGCCCAGAGCCCGACGCGGGGCTCGGACTCACGGACCGCGAGATCGTGACCTGGCTGAAGTCGGACGCTTAACCGACTGCGCCACCCAGGCGCCCCGACATATTCTTTTTTAAAATGTTTACTTATTTTGAGAGAGAGTGTGCGCGTGTGTGCACATGAGTGGGGAAGGGGCAGAGAGAGGGCTGAGAGAGAGAGAGAGAGAAATAGAGAGAGAATCCCAAGCAGGCTCTGTGCTGTCAGTGTGGAGCTTGATGTGGGGCTTGATCCCAGGGACTGTGAGATCAGGACATGAACTGAAATCAAGAGTCAGACACTTAACCAACTGAGCCACCCAGACACCCCTGCATTGACTTATTTTTAACTTTTTCTTAGAAAAATATCTAAGAATAGAATGGCTCAATCATATGGAAAGTGCATGTTTAGCATGTTTAACTTCTTAGGAACTTTCCAAACTGTTTTCCAAAGTATTGTTCCCACCTGTACTGTGTGAGAATTCTAGCTGTTCCGTCTTTTCATAACGCTTGGTATAATCAGTCTTCTAAGTTTTATCTATTCTATTATGTATATAGGGTATCTCATTGTTTTAATTTTCACTTTCCTAGTGACGAATGTTGTTGAGCCTGTTTTCATGAATCTAGCCTCTATTCATGTATCTTCTTTGTCATAGTGTTTTTTCATGACTTTATATGCCATCTATATACCTTCCATGGTAAATTGTCTGTTCAGTCTTCTGCCTATTTCTTTTTGAATTGAGTTGCTTGTTTTCCTATTGAATTTTCCAAGTTCTTTGTGTATTCTATATACAAATCTTTTTTTCTGATACATGATTTACAAAATATTGTCTCTGTCTGCGGCTGGTCTTTTCATTCTTTAACGAAGTCTTTTGAAGAGCAGAAGTTTTTAATTGTGATAAAGTTCAAATTATCATTTTGATATTTCATTAATCCTTGGTTTTGGTATTATATCTAAGAAATCTTTGCCTAACTCAAGGTCACAACAATTTTTGTCTTTTGTTTTCCCTAAAAGTTCTACAGTTTTAGTATTTACATTAACTTATGATCCACTTTCAGGGCCACCTGGGTGGCTTTGTTGGGTAAGCGTCCAACTTCGGCTCCAGTCATGATCTCGCATTTCATGAGTTCAAACCCTGCATAGGGCTCTGTACTGACAGCTCAGAGCCTGGAGCCTGCTTCGGATACTGTGTCTTCCCCTTTCTCTGCCCCTTCCCTGCTTGTGCTCTCTCTGGTCTCTCAAAAAAAAAAAAATGAATAAATGTTGAAAAAAATTTTTTAAATAAAAAAAAAACTTATGATCCAGTTTGAGTTAATCTTTGTGTGGGTTGTCAGTATGAATTGAAATTTATTTTTTATCACTTCATTTGTTCTTATCTTTCAAATATTACTGTCCTTCATTGCCTGATGCCTCGTGTCTTTAAAACCATTGTTTTATATATTTTTCCCAGTCGTTTGTTTCAAGTGGGAAGGTAAACTTGGTTTCTGTTAACTCCATCTTGGCCAGAAGCAACTGTCATGAAGTTCATTTTTAATTAATGAAAGTTATTTTTTTTAAAAAAAGGGCTGCATTTTGTTAGAGTACTTTCTTTTATTTAAGAGTGAGTGAGCTGAAAAACTTTAAAAAGCTGCATGAGTTTTTATTCAAAGATAGCAGAAGAAACACCCCACTAAAGAAATTTAACAAGAGAGTGGAAGACAAACATGAATATCTGCCCTGAATCCTCTGTGTTACATGTAGGAACAACATAATCTTTAAATCTAGATCACTTATTGTTTACATACTTTTAAAAGCAGTTGATATTTGAGGCACTCATTAATTAGTATTTGAAAATGAGGAGATGTTTCCCATGATTCTCATAAGTAATGGAAATCCTAAAAAATGGCCTTTAAAATCCCTCTTTGTATACCTGGGAAGTCGCAAGAATTCTTCCAACTACTCATGTCAACACTGGAGAAGCTAGAAACATGTTCTAAATATATTTCAACACAATCAAAATTGACATTTACTTCTTTGAAAATACACAATGTTAAAGAAAATCCAAATTTTGATTTCAAATGGTATTTCCAAATTTTAATTTGTTATAAGACTTCCTATTTGTACTGAATTTCTATTTCTCAAGCCATTTCCTTTCTTTTGTTGGTTTCCCACTTAGTTAATTTCTCCCATATTCTAATCACAGATTTACATCTATTTTTCAAAGGCTGTCTAAAGATCACTTTGAAATAAATCCAGCTTATCTCTGTCATTCATAAGATTAACCTACTATTCATTCAACTCATCAATAAATGATGAGAAAAGTGAGAGACTAGATCCACTTGGTTCATATGCCCAAGATGAATTTGATGAGTGTTATGTCAGTGTTGGGCACTACATATCAAGGGATGGTCCACATTCTTGTACTTAAAATTGATTCTCTCTCCTTTTTTTTCCTCTCATTTTACAGTCTCTGAAAAATTTTCAAGTGAACTGGAGGTCTTTCTGACTGACCTACATATAAAACTGGAAGGAAGTTCTGAGTTGAAATTTAGCATGCAAAGTTTTGTGCAAACCTATATTATTCATGTGAATGAGAAGTGACATACAGGATACTTTGCAAAAACAATGAAAAAGAGAAGTTTTAAAGTTTGAAAATATTTCAATAGGAAAACAGTAATGAGTAGGAAGATTAAAACTCCCAAAGGCAATGAGTTATAATTTTGTCAAACATAAAGTAATATTTTGATGTTTTGTGAGAGTTTTTATAAAGTTAGATGAAGACATTAATACTGTTTTTAGAATACCTTTTTAGAAAAAAGAAATCCTGTTGTACTTTTGTAACTGAACCAATGTGAGTTCACTCCTTGGTGAGTCACAGATACACCAGGTAGGGTTGTCACACAAAGTAAATTTTATTTGAGGCAAATAAGGAGATCACTGGGAATAATTTCCAAAGCCTTGACTTCCTGAGAAAGGGTGAATGAGTGCCTTTTGTTTAGGGTTAGGATGAACATTTAAATAGGGAAGCCTTGTCATCCTTTGTAGAGGTGGGCATGAGGTCATGCATGCACCTTAAGGAAACATGCCTATACATACATCGTATGTTATATAAATGAGGCTGGTGCCCCTCCTTGGGTAGAGATTTTATTATTATAATGAGGAAGAGGGAATTGTTAGTCATTCCAGATGTCACTCCATGGTCTGTGCGGGTGCCAGTCGGGGGTTAAGCTCAAACTGGTCTGGGTGGTCTGGGATGGCTGGAGGTCCTGTCAGGACAGTTTCAGGTTTCATTTGCCTGTGTTAAGAAGTAAGCCAGAAAGAAGAATTTATGAAAAAATATAGGACAGAGGTTGTGGAGTACATGCAGGTGGGCAATAAAGTTCAGGTCTTGAGGTCTAGCTGGTGACACTTTTATTAGAGTTGTATATCCCTAAATCATCATTGAATTTGTTGCAATTTGTTCTGAATTGTGATTTCTATAGTAGGGTGCCTGTATAATACTAAAAATAGGGATTTATTATTTTTAACTGCGTTCTTTCCCAAATGTGCTAGACCAACATAGAAAATCTGTTAATCTATGTGTCTCCAAAATACTATTTAGAATTTTTTACCCAGAGAAACCCAAGAGTGTATAATGTTTAAAGTGTATAAATAATATCTGTAGCATTAAAGTTTTTTAATCATAAACATAATGTTCATTTTAAGGTGATCTCTGAAATCTATATCATAAAACTCAAAACACCATGGAAGAAAATTAGAAACCATTCATTTAACCATTATCTTCAATTAATGGAAAGGAAATGGTAAAATTTAAAGTGATTAATTCCTTCACTTGACTGTCCATACTTTAATATTGATATACCTTATGAAGATCCCATATGCATGGGAAGGGTAGTCTTTTTCAGTTTCTCTGAACACAGATGATTGGGAGGGTGTCTTAACCTTTTCTGGTTTCCAAGCATAGGTCTCAGGCAAAGGTCAACATTGTCACCACAACTTTCCTTTCTTTGAAGGACTTACAAGAGTAAGATTTAACCTTCTTATTTTTTTTTCCAACTCTGGCAAAATGTGTGTTACTGGTGTGTACATTTCAGCTAAAGCAGTAGTAAGAAGACAAATCAGAATACACAAATCCAGGTAAAGTTGAGAATGAATCAAAATATCTACCATAACCATGAGGCTTTATAATTTGGTATATAAAAAAGCTTGTTAAACCAAAAGAAGTCTTTAATTTTTAGACTATTAGGCAGTTTTAAAACAGTGAAGAATTGCTATTAGTATGGTGAACATTTTTTGGTTCAAAATTAACTTTCTAACACCCTGAAATCATGTCATGCCTAATTAAGCCATTATGTAAGTCTGACCTTGAGTTTAATAGGATGAAAAGGGAGAATAGAACTTGCATATGGTTGGTGCTTCATAACTGTTGACTAATAATGACTATAATGATTTATAACTTGGATCAAATAATATCACTAGATATTTATACTCTTTCAAGTTTCATTTAAAGTTCATATCTGAAATCTATTTCGTAGAGATGAGCAGGCATATCCATTTAGAAAGGACTAAATCAGTGCTTCTCAACAGGAACAGTTTTGCTTTCCAAGGGACACTTGGCGATATCTAGGAACATATCCTTCATTATTACTACAGGAGTTGGGGGGTGCTACTGGCATCTAGTGGGTAGAGGCTAGAGAGGCTGCTAAATATCTTGCAATGTACAGAACAGCCTCTCAAAATAAATAATGATTTGGTCCAATATATCAGTGATATTGAGATTGTGAATCTCTGGGATAAATAAGTTTTATATGGAGTTAATATATACTCATGTGTGTAGATACTTAGATAGTGTGTATCAGGGTGTGTATTTATGACTCTCCAGAAATTCTGGAAATTTTTCTTTACTTTCCCTTTTTTTTATGGCTAAAAAAGTTATGATATTGTTTGCCAATCATTCTCTAATGAAGTAAATATTCTCTAGTTGTTACTATAATACACAAAGAAACAACTTTCATTCTGATATTGAATCCCCAGTCCTAAATAACAACAACAGAAAAGCGACGATAGAATAAAGCTAACACAGTACAAAGTTAAATCCTCAAGTTCTAGAACATTATTATGTGTGAGTCTCTGACCCTTTTCAGTGTTGAGAGAATCAAAGGAAAGAGAAGAATACTTTGAAAGTTATGTCTTTACAATATCTCTCAGAAATATTTTTTCTCTTGGCACATTTGAGAAAGACAGGGCTTGTTCTTCTCTTTCTTAGCTTAGAGAGTCATAGATACAGTCGTGTAACTACCTGCAAAGAACATTCCCACTTAAATGGAGAAGTGGGGGTGATAACTAAAAATCTGCCATAGGAAGTGATCAAAGAAGGCCAGTCAAAGAAAATGTAGGCAGTGAAGTTGGAGGCAGCTGAAAGAAAAATTAGGATAGTTAGATTCCTGTAGCTGACATATTTGGGATTATAACAATAGAGATTTCAAAAGCTGTAGTCACCCATATCAGAGCATTTGTAAAGACAAAGTACTCAAAACAAAGCTGCTGGAAATTGTCGATTACATGAAATTTAAGCAAGAACAAAGAGAAAAGATGACAATATGAGGAAATAATTGCTACTATGTGTGTCTATGTACATGTATAAACTGATTTATTTAGTCCTTTCTGAATTATAATTTATAAGACATATTGGCATTTGGAATTCATAAACCATCTCTACATCCAGGCAGCTTTTTTCTAAATTAAAATTTCCTTCTTCCATGTATTTTTGATTTTGTTTTTCCCGTCCCAGCCATGTTGTCCTTAGTTATTTTTTAAAAAACTGGGACCAGGGGTGCCTGGGTGACTCAGTAGGTTTAGCGTCCCACTTTTGATTTTGGCTCAGGTCGTGATCCCAGGGTCATGGGACTGAGCCCTGTTTCAGGCTCATGCTGAGCTTCGAGCCTGCTTAAGACTCTCTCTCTCTCTCTCTCTCTCTCTCTCTCTCTCTTTCTCTCTGTTTCTCTCTCTCTTTCTCTCTCTCTCTACCCACCCCCCCCTTTGGCCCTCTCCCTGCTGGCACATTCTTTAATAAAAAAATATAAATATAAAGTAAAATACATTACAATGCAATACAATACACTAAGTTTGTTGAGTGTCCAACTCTTGATTTCAGCACAGGTATTTATCTCAAGGTTGTGAGTTCAAGCACTGCATTCAGCTCCATGCTGGCTGTAGAACCTACTTAAAAAATAAAGAAAAATTTTAAAATGAAAATACGTGGACTGTGTATACTTACTGTAAGGTTGATTCTTTCATGGGACTGACTTTTTGTAGAACTGGGTTTAACAAAGATAAGGTTATCAGGTTGACTTAATAGAGAGAAATCGCTTTACCTTCCTCCACTAAATTTAACTTTAAATCTGTTTCATCCTATTTCCATCTTCCCACTTAGCGTTAATGCCCCCACCTATAAAACCTGAGGTCCGCCTAAAGATAGGGTGAAAGAGCCAGTCTGTTAATAAATGAGTGAAGCAACCTTCATGGGGACTATGGCAAACTCAAGAGTTGGAGACCTATAAAGAGTAAACACGGCCATTGTAGCTTCTGGCTTTCATTCTCATGTGTCATGAAGGGCTGCTGCCCAGTATTGTTAAACATTCCAGTTTTTATGTTAAAAAATAATAAATTCATACTTTAAATTAAACACCCAAATTAAAATGTTTTCTCTCTCTCTTTTTCTTGTCTTTGCCTTTTTCTATTTTCATTTTGAATTTAGTACAATATACATATCAGAGACCACTAATGTGAAACTTCTGGCCCAGATGATCAAAGTGTTCCATATTTTTCAAAAAAGGTACTAAGAATATATTAACATTACACTAGAAATCTATTGTAAATATATTCAAATAGTTGGTACTAAGGATTGATATTCCAAGAATAGCATTTTTATTAAAGAACCAGAATGTAGCTCTGAGAGACTGTCTAGCCGAGCAAAGACATTTTGCATAGAATCCTAAAATAGTATTGTTGACTGAGGCAGAAGCTTGTGAGATTTTTATCTATGAAAATTGTACTTCAATATATCAGCTGTGGACTTGGGGTAAGATTTAGGTAAGATATTTGAGGCAATTAGTATTGTCAGTAGAAATGTTTGTCCTTCATTAATGTTTTCTAAGTACTGAACTCTTTAACTTTTTAAACATATTTTTCTACTTTTTGCATGGAGACAGTACATAAACTCAATAATCCAATTCTGTAGAACTAAACCAGACATTTGTATAATAGGTTTGCTGTAGAGGTGGTGGTACAGCTTGAACCTGTTATTGTAATACAATTCTCGATATCAACTTGGAGATCATTCCAGGTCAGTGATTTGACTTCACAGTAGAATCACCTGAGGATTTTTTTTTTTTTTTTAATTCTGATGACCTGACTGCATTTCATAACCATTCAGTCTTTGTGGGGTGGGGAGGTATGGGAAAGATCCAGACATCATTACTTTTTTAGCTCTTTAGTTGAGCAGAGAACTATCTAAATAATATTCACTAGAATTCTTCTTTAAGCCAGTGGTCATAAGAGTCTTAAAAATCTTGAGGACCAGATAAGGTTAATTAATCCAATTGTTCATTTAACAAACATGTATTAAGTACTTACTCTGTACTAGATACTTTGCTTGAGGGGAGGGGTGATATGCAAAGATGAATAAAACGTTTTTTGCCCCTCAAATAAATAGAATCTATTTTTTTAATGTTTTTATTTATTTTTGAGAGACAGAGAGAAACAGAGCATGAACAGGGGAGGGGCAGAGAGAAGGAGACACAGAATCCCAAGCAAGCTCCAGGCTTTGAGCTGTCATCACAGAGCCCGACGTGGGGCTCGAACTCATACCGTGAGATCATGCCCTGAGCCAAAGTCAGATGCTTAACTGACTGAGCCACCCAGGTGCCCCAGAATCTATTTTTTTTAATGTTTATTTATTTTTGAGAGAAACAGTGAGAGACAGAGTGTGAGCAGAGGAGGGGCAGAGAAAGAAGGAGACATAGAATCCAAAGCAGGCTCCAGGATCTGAGCTGTTAGCA